ATTATACCCATATTATGCCCATACAATATGCAGTACCAGCCCTTTGCCTCTGCTGCTGCTGAGCAACAATGAGGGGTGGAAAAATCGATGAGTTTCAGTTTCTTTCACTTTCTCAGTTTTCCATTCTTCGGTTCAGTTTGTCACACCTATGCATCAGTTTGTAAATTGCTTTTTAAAAACATGTGAATATTCAACAGCATTTCAGTGCACATTTTTCCAAATACACATTTTAATGCATTTTGCCTAATATGCATGTTTTAAGCAATTCCCCCTAACATAATGTATTTTTTATGCTTTTTCCTAATATAGGCATGTTTATGAACATACTTTAGGTGGTAGAAATACATCACAAAATTCAGAGAAGGGTGAATTTCAAAGGATAGCTTTGTTTACGTGCTGTTTTTGCAAAGGGCAAATTAGGTAGGTTCACATTAAAATGGAATCCATTCTAAATTTCTCTCTCAACAGCTGCCATTACTGGTCTGGAGACTTTGGTGGCTGCTTGGTGGTAGGGGAAGTTGCAATGGACACTTAGACATCATTTCCTCACTCATGTGCCCATTATGATGCTCAGTAAGAATTGTTTTACAGTGCCAGAACTGGACCATAAACATGTGAATCAAGTCTAATCAACTAAATGTATTTTGAATCCATTTAGCAAGAGCAAAAGCAGAAAAACAAAGACAAAACCAAAATACACAGGAAAAAATCGCACTCATGATGACTGAGAAATCCAGGCACCAAAGAGATGTCCTGATGATAAGTGGATGAACTGGTATAAAGGGCCTCTGGTCCTACTTTGTTGTCAAGTATTCAAGAAGCATAATCATAATGTCTTTTTAAAAAACAACAACAACTCCAAATTGCTTTCCTTGACTGAAAATATGATTTTCAATAGACTTAATTTGAATAGGGGCATACACTAAATTTTATTGGACTTGCCTTCAATTTATTTTGCAAGATGAAAGCGTTTAAAGAGTGCTCAGTCATCCTTCAGCCTTCAACAGTTTTAAATTGTACGGGTATGGTCATCTGCATTTTCATTCACCCTACACCTAGTTAATAGCCTACTTTGCTGAATTCATTTCATGCACATTTCGGGAGACAAAATAGCTTGCTTTTTCACCTCAGAACAAGTGCAAAAATATGTCACATGTAATTTTGTTTCTCTCTCTCTCTCTTTTAAAGACAGATCACTGGTATCAGAATTTTCCCATGCCGATTAAATGTCAATTAGCACCTACATATACTTGTTAAACTACATTTAGAGAGTTGGAATGCCTAATGTTTTACAGAACATCAGATCTTTAGACATCAAGCATACCAATTTGGCAGTCTTGGGCTGCAATTCTAAAGACCCTTAATTGGGAGTAAGTCCCTATTGAACACAGTGGGTTGGCTCCAGAGTGTTCTGTACACAGAAGGGACTGAGACCCAGAGGAGGAAATAATTTCAGCTAATTCTATCTTCCCTTTGATCCTCCTTCTCCACTGTTCCAGACAGTCCCACAACCCCTCAGAGCAGCTTTTCAGTATGCTGCTGGGGAAAAGAACAATAAATTAAAATCCACCTATCCCCTTCATCTCCTAGGAGGATCCCCTGATCAGAATTCCACTTACAGTAACTCTGGATCCAACTGATGTAACCTTACTTCTGAGTAAGCATGCATAATATTGTGTGGCATTGGCATATCCATGATGTCATATGACTTGAGATGTCTCCCACCTTCTTTCATTCATAGCAGACTAAAAAAGCTGAGAGGGTTTCCTTAAAAGAGAATTTAGAATTAGAATTACATTATAAGCCTGATTCAACTAAAATGTGGTGCTTCTGGAAGCAAGTGCAACAAGTCCAGCTAATGCAATGGGGCTTTCTCCCTATCCTCTCCCCACTCTAGGGGGTTGGGAGAATCCCAGGAACAGTGAACGGTACAACAAGGGAGATGACTGTATCTGGCTTGCACTATGCTCTGGTAACCTTCAGGTTAGATTACTGCAATGTGTTATATGTGGGATTGCCTTTGAAGAAGGTTCGGAAACTTCAACTGGTGCAGAATTCCATGGGCACATTGCAAAGCAGTCTGAGCACATAACACCAACCCTGTCCAGACTGCACTGCCTATGGGTTAGTTTCTTGACCCAAATCAAAGTGCTCGTTTTGACCTATGCAGTTCAGGACCCTAGTACCTCAAGGACAGCCTTTCCTCATATGAACTGGCCCTGCGACCATCATCTGAGGGCCTTCTTCATGTTCACCCTTTGCTGGAAGTCCAGAAAATGGCAACATAGGAACAGGCCTTTCATTGGTGGCTCTGCACTAATGCGATGCTCTCCAGAGGGAAGCTTGCCTGGTGTCTCCATTACATTACCAGGCAAAAAATATTTCTTTTTCTCCTGGCCTTTGACGACTTCTTCTTCTTCGTCTTCTTCTTCTTCAAATTTCTATACTTCCCTTCACCCAATGATCACAGGGAGGTTTACAGTAACAAAACACAAAAAGACATACTATAATAACCAACAAAACCAATAACCTATGGCTTCTGTAAGTGGATGGCATATTTTAATTTAGCTTTTTAAAAATATAAATGTCTTTTAGATTTTTCTTTGTTTTCTTTGTTTTCTTTTACCTCAGTTTGAATGTATCTGTTTGTTTTATCTTGCCAGTTGCATAGAGTTCCTGGGGTAAAAAAGTGACCAATAAATTAAATAAAGAAATGAAACTGAAAATAATAAACAAACACCTCTGTACAATGTTGAATTCCACACCGTATAAGTATTTATAATAAAGGGAAATCAACCTGTTTTCCTCAGCTTCAGATCCATGTTCTGCTCTAGTGTAACTAATCTTCATTTTAATAAACACAAAAATGCCCACGTGAAATATATGATATGCCAGACTTTTGTTGATTAAAAAGTTAAAAGGTAATCCTTAGGTAACTGCTTTGATGGCATAAAATGCATAGATTACAAATGTTACCAGCGTATCAAATCAATCTAAACAGAATCTGAATGCATTAATTTAGCAACAGAAGGATTACATTTTACCCACCAGGATGGTAAGGTTTTACTTCGCCATCATCTGTGGGAATTCTGCAGGTGTTAAATTAGCCACAGAAAAGCTTCCCCATTGTTCCCAGAATGATGTAGAAGCATATTGAGAATTACAACAGAAACATACTGAGAATTAAAATTAAAGGGAAAAGTTAATTAAAAAAATGAATGTAAGAGCTACAGACTTCAAACAAAAGACTTTTCCCTAGTTCAAACTAAGTTCTTGACTGCATGCATAATTTCACACAAATCAGAATTTAACTTGCTGTGCTTTGCTTCTTCAATAAAAGAGTTTCCCCCTAGCAATTCAGCTAGTAAAATATGCTCCATAAAAAGCACATACTGAAATAGATTTCTAGATTCAAAATGTTTTGAGATATGGTACGTCCACGCAAACTAAAGACCCAACATTTGATATGATCTGTGAAACATGTCTAGTTCTCTGCTCCAAACAGTTTTCCAAATAGCCATTCAAATGTAAAAAATAAATTGTTTTGGTGTGCAAAAGTGGTTGTATTTCAGTCATGCAACTGTTGCCAGGAAGGCTATCTTAAGTTGCTGTTCTGAAACAGGAGTGTTAGCAAATGACCTGATGTTTCATCCAAGAATACATATGCTGACATTGTCATGCTAACCAATCTGACCTAACCCTCACAAGGAAATATATTTTTTAAAAACTGAGGTAAGCTCATATCTCTTTTGGTTGCTATGGGCTGAAAAAGATCTACCTTGAGTTCATTAAAATGAGCCCTCCCTAAGCGGCTGATGTATGTTAAAATCACTTACTTCAATTGTTTGCAGTTAACAAAAAATAATAATATCAGCATACAAGATCTGAGGACTCTTGCTAGGAAGTGAAACAGAGAAAGACAGTGGGAAGGAGAGGCGGGTAACACACGAAAGAAGTGTGTGAATAATATCAATTGAGAATGCGCCTAGGACGTTCTTCAATTTTTTATTTTTTTAAGCACATCTTCAAATTTTTTGCAAGTCTCCACTTGCTTTTTCCTAAAGCAGGTTCTTCTATCAAGATCTGCAAGGACTAGAAATCATCCTTTTTAATGACATTTGTACAAGATGTAACAAAAAGTGTGATGCTCTTTTAACGTTGGCTTTAGGCGAGTAGCAATCAGATGGGGAATAAGATCGGGTTTTATCCGTTTGAAACTGATTTTAATTGGATCTTATTGCATATGTAGATTTAAATGTACCGTTATAATCTCTGGGCTTTTCTGAAGAGATGGCCTAGAAAACAAGGAATATAATAAAAATAGGAAAATGTAGTCTTTGAAAGTAACCTCATTCACCCCAAGGCAAAGACTTCTACATCTTGAGAGGGACACAAGAGCCTTTTGTTTCCATGAGGTTCCTGTTCCTATTCAGTGAAGGAGGAAGATTTGTAAATGATCGAAAAGGGTTCAGCCAAGGTCCTCTCTGCCAAGCATCAAGATGAAGCAACTTGCTCCATGCACCACAATGAGTGTGAGATAGAGAACAATAGGAATTGGTGCCTGAATAGTGCAGCAGAAATTTCTAGCTGGGCAGGAGAGGGCATTTGAGCTCTGCTTCAGGCCTCAGAATGTCTTAGTCTGCTTCATTTAAATGAATGGGAGAGCTGTTCTAAATGGCATAATTATATCTGGTCATCAAAGTTTTTCTGTGTATTGTTAAATCACTGAAAATTGCACTGGCTGCTGAGCTGTGATACTTCCACTGCTCCTTTGAATGCTTGAAATAGGCTTGGATTTGGGTGAGTTGGCACTCCAAATAACAGCCAGGCACAACAGTCTTCATTTCCAGTAAAACAAATATGAAAAAGGGTCCAAATGAATTAAAAAATGAAAAGAACTTGGTTTGCTTACCAAAAAGGTCATGCAATCTTTGGTTCAGGTAGGTAGCTGTGTTGGTCTGATGCAGTTGAATTTAAAAAAAATAAAAATAAGAAGAAATTGTCCAGTAGCACCTTATAGACCAACTAAGTTTGTTCTGGTATAAGCTGTTCTGGTATAAGATACCAGAAGAAGTGTGCATGCACATGAAAGCTTATACCAGAACAAACTTAGTTGGTCTATAAGGTGCTACTGGACAATTTCTTTCTTTTTTTAATGCAATCTTTAGGTTAGCAAAGGTGCACACTTTAAAATTTCCCTTTTAGGGGGAGATTTTGTTTTTTCTCGCAGCTTGGAGCTACTGACTGCATGGCTCCCTGCTTTTCCAAGAAAAAAAGGAAAGTGGGGGAGCAAAGGTTGCTGTAAGCCTGCCAAGCCATAGCGAGTCTGGAAACTTGAGCTCAAGGCTTAGGTTAACCCCTTCATGCACACAAGTGTGAGCTAGCAACTGCCTATTACAACAGAAACAATACAGTATGTATCTGCATACTGCATGAAAATGGGCCCTGCCTCCATTCCAGCATGGACACAATGCTAACCCCGCCACAAACCCTGTCAGGTCAGCTGGGAGAGTGCATTTGTGTTTGTATCTTGTTCATGATTCAAAAACTGATCGGAATAGGATGGGCCCTAAACTGAAATAAAGTTCCAGGGCATAAAGTGATTGATGCCAATCCAGGCAAGCAGCAATTATAAATATGTAGCATCAGTTCACATGCAGACATAATTGTTACAAGCTATTTACCCACCACTGTGAAAAATATTATTCGTTTCTTTGCTTCTCGTGCACTGCCACTTGCAGAAGGACTTATCTTCCCGTTAAGTATTGCACTTATCATTAAAGAGACCAATCAACATAGCACACTCTTTGAATGTCAAGTGTGGAAGAAAAGGAGTAAAACATCAACAATCAGTTCATAAAGGATTTTTTTAAAAGAAGAAGAGAAAGCGATGTAATTTTGAACAAGTACATTTAAGGAAATGAGCAGAATGGCTGTCCATTTCAGTGAAATAGCTGGAAATTGCTAGTTCTATACTAAAGACTGTTTGAGACATCCTAAAGAGATAGCAATGGAGCAAAGAACCCTGAATGATTTCACTTCTCCTGCTTGTCTCTTCTGGGTCTGATGCGAAGGGCCAGGAAGATGTGCATATTGCTCACATACAGAGCTCTACCTCTCCATAAAAGACCATAAAAGATGAATCAGTTATGCTTCCTGTTTTGTAACCTCTTAAAGTCTCTATGACTATTGCTTTGAATTGGTTTTTAAAAGTTATGGATTATTCAGCCATTATAAAAGCTGGGCAAAAACTTATTAGGCTTTCAGAAGGTGGTGGAAGGACTCTTGGACCCGGCCAGAGCCCTCAGAATGTTTTCCTGAAGGGAAAGCATCCCTCTACTTTGCATGTGGAGCAGTTCTGGGCGTTCCTAGCTTTATGTCTTTTTGTATATGCACATGGACCCCAGAACAGAACCCTCACATAAGATGTGAGTTGCCTGAAAACGTAAACAGGCCCCTCAGCAGGTAGCTGCCCTGATCAGTGATTGCAAAATGTATAAATGCAGCTTGCCTAACTAGTAGCTAGGAAGTAGGACAGCATTCCTTAGTTGTGACAACCCACCTGTCGAGTTCCCTTGCCAGGTGCTCATATCTTTTTGATGCCAGGAAGAAAAAACATGTTTTTCTCTCAGCATTCTTTAAAAAAAAAAAAAAGGAGGTTGGATTTAGTTTTGTTGCTGTTTTCAGTTTCTGCTTTATTGTCATTTTATGTTCAGAGTTAAATGTTAATTCTATAAAATGTTATGATGATGAACGCACTGGTAAATCTAAAGAAGAAATTTACCAAATTGCCTACAATGATTGACACAGAAGAGCTCACAAATTAAGGAAACCCCACCCTCTCAAGCACAACCTACAATATTTCTCTGTAGCTTTTAGGTGTTGTTTCAAAAAGCTTGAGTTTCCCTATTCCACGGGACCAGCTGTCCCTTGTTTGGTTTTGTTTGGTTTTGTTTTGCTTTGCTTTGCTTTGTTTTGTTTCCCCCACTTTTCATTGCAGACAGTGACAGACACATATGAGTGATGAACTTACCCTGAGCCCCCATAAGCTCCTGGGACAAGGTAAGGCAGTGCTATTTTTCTAGAAAAAGAGGTGCCCGAACTCACAATGAATGCCTCCCTCGTTCTCTCAGAATGCCAATGGCGCCTACCTGAGAGGAGGTGGAACCCAATTCCAACAGGTTCTGGCTGAAAAAAAGCCCTGTGGTAGGGTATGAATTAGACCAAAAAACAAACAGACCTCTTAATTCTCCAGAGCTTTGGGGCTGATAGTTTAAGTAGGCAGATTGCTCATGATGTAACTAAAACCACTAGAAGGTACTTGCCACCCGAGTTTCATCCCTCTCTAGGTCTGTGATCCTTTAAACTGTGGGGTGGTATTGTTTTCATTTGTTACTACGTTGTGTATTTTTGTGTTTTCATATGTGATGCTTGGATGAAGGCTGGTATAGAAATGTAATAATAAAATAAATAATGGCAGTCTCTGATACAGTTGGAGGAACCTACATAATTTCTTCAGTTACAAGGATAATAAAGAAGGCTAATCGCCGAAGAATTGATGCTTTTGAATTATGGTGCTGGAGGAGACTCTTGAGAGTCCCATGGACTGCAAGAAGATCAAACGCATCCATTCTGGAGGAAATCAGCCCTGAGTGCTCACTGGAAGGACAGATCATGAAGCTGAGGCTCCAATACTTTGGCCACCTCATGAGAAGAGAAGACTCCCTGGAAAAGACCCTGATGTTGGGAAAGATGGAGGGCACAAGGAGAAGGGGACAACAGAGGACGAGATGGTTGGACAGTGTTCTCGAAGCTACCAACATGAGTCTGACCAGACTGCGGGAGGCAGTGGAAGACAGGCGTGCCTGGCGTGCTCTGGTCCATGGGGTCATGAAGAGTCGGACACGACTAAACGACTAAACAACAATACATTTAACCCACTTTTTCCAATTTTGGGTAGGTGAACACCTTATCTGAAAAACCCATCCTTATGGACGAGCGATCCTCAACAGCAGTGAATGACTCTGCTGAGTTGTAAATTCAGCTGTTTGGTTTGCCCCTCCCCCCAAGCTTGCTACCTGAACAATGTAACCGAATCACACTAATAATATCCCAAAATAATGATTAATTCACCTGCCTCAAATTCTGTGATAATAACAAAACAGAACTATAAACTTACCTTAAAGAGTATCCATGAAAGGAGTGGGATGCATAGAAAACATTGCCTGGTAAATCACCATTGTTATCTGAGCCCTCTTCTCTCAATGAGCGAGAAACCGAAAGTAATGCCAAAACTCTGTAGGCTAGCAGCATCAGGCTGCTTAGTTTAAGAGCTCTTAGTTCCAGTGTAGATTATATTTCTCAGTAACTTTTGGATTTTTGCCTGCCATTTCCATCTAAGCTGTATTGCTACACTGCTTCATTATTGCTATAAGAGTACCTCTAACCATCCAAGGCAGTGAGCGCAGCTGCCAGGGCAATCCAGAGGTGGTGAGATGATTGTCACCTAAGGCACTGCTGCATTTTTGCTACTGCACCTTGCATGGAGCAGAAGGAAAGAGGAGGCAGCTCAGAACATCTCCAGCAGAAGAGCCTGTCCATGGCATTGTTGGGATTCAAGCCTATATAAGTAGTAACTGGCAACTCTCCCAGGCACCCGGCTTGATCTCCTGTTGACCTCCCTGTCTGCATTCCTCAGCAAGATCCAGGCAGAGGTCGCGATAGGCGATCCTTCTCAGCATGAGAAGAACACACACCCTTTTTGTTGCGCCCCCCCCCCGGCAGGGGAAAGAGATAGACAGAAACGTATTTACATGCCTTTATTTCTGTCTTTGCAGCGTTACAAAAAACATGACTGCTCTCTTCAAACTCCAGCAGTCGAGAGGCAAAAACTTCCTGTACTTCCTGTACAGCTCATATTACACTCTGAGCTAATTCCGGTGCTTCGCACTGTGAAGTGACTGTCCCTCTGTTTCCCACGGACAGTCCCAACATCATGTGATGTTTTCAAGCTAGCAGCTCGCAGCTGCATTGCTTCTATATTGTAACAGGCATCACTAACATCGCAGTCTTTGAGGCCTAGAGTTTTGGGAGGGGGAGCTTTAAAGCTGAGCTGGCGCTGGCAGCACCACCATCAAAGGGTGTCATCCCTTTGGAGGGTGTGGAAGAAGGGTTGCTCATCTAACCCCAGGATAAAGGGGTTGGATGTGGCTGGCTAGTGCTGTGTGGAACACTCAGAAGTTGGTTGCTGGTGAGCTATATCCTCTCTTTGCAGCTACTAGTAGCTAACTTGTGCCTGGGAGAGATGTTTGCAGCCTGGGGAGAGCAAGTGAAGCAGTTGGGGTGGTCAGAGGGATGCGGAAGAAGATAGCCCAATGAGAGGGACATGGCTCAAGCACCCTAGGCCTGATCTGCATGTTGGCTTCTCCTTCGGCACAGACTGAAACCTAAGTATCCAGATTTCTCACTTTTCTGAATTTTGCAATACAGCCCTTTGTTCTAAAGCCATAGCAAAATGTGTAAAATCAAGGTGTATTTTAAGACTGAAATATGTTCAGATATTGAGATAAAATATGTATTTAAATACATATGTATTTAATATGTATTTCAATAAACATTCTCATACAGATCTTTTAAAAACAACAGCAGTTCAGATTGATGCAGAAGTGGGACTGAATAAACTTGTGAATGAAAACATGTGAACCTGACATGGATCAGAAATAGACTGGTCCTTCTATCCTTAATTAAGTGGCCTTCCATTTCTTAGTGATAAGAACCTAGGAAGAGCCTACTGAATCAGGCCAATGGTCCTAGGTTGTTCAAGAAACAAGAACATCTTCCTTACATTTGTATGTTTGGAGCTTTATTTCAAAACATTAAGCTAGATGATTACAAAATTGCAGTGTGAAGAGTGTGAGTAGGTGGGGACTGAATAGGTAGAAACTATTTTCTTTCTTCCAAAACATCAGAACACTGGGTCATTCAATTAAAGTGGCTGCCAGCAGCAGAAACAGACAATAGTATTTGTTCTATTCTCAAAACATAAAGTGTTCTACAATAAAATCAAAATGTGTCTTGGAAAGCACTTAAGAATAATCTTAGCACAAATTCAACTAAAGAGAAGTTCTGTCTGTGATTA